TGAAGGAAAAATAAAGAAAACAGCGCAACCCACATTTCTAACTTTCTTATTTGCTATAAATTGAATTGAAATAAAGTTGTTAAATAAAAAAATGGGGAGAAGTTGGGGGTTACAATTTTACAGGGCCACTTCTTTATTTTGTGGCCCTATTAGTACTTTGTGACAGAGCTGTGTAAATCTTAGAACTTAATGGACAGAAATAGAAATCCTATGGCATCTAAAGCAGATTCCATATACTGTATGTACATCATCTGTTCATAAAGCTGCTTGCTGGAGTTCAGTTTTACCTCAAATTTAGTCACATTTCGTTAATTCATAGTAGGATCCTTCTGGGAAGCTCTTAGGATAAACACTCCACTCTGCAGCTGTCTTCTACTCTTCTTTCAACAATTCTTTCATTGAGGCTCAAATCTGCCCCCAGCTGTCGCTTTCAGTGTTGCCTCTTTTCTACATATTAATATTTCATTACAAGATAATTATTCTGCTACAGGTGCTCGCCACTGAGCTTGTTTGTAAAAACTAAAGTGAACCTGCTTATTTTCCTATCATGGGGCTAAGAATGATAAATGGTTACTGTGGACTACAACCACAATTCTTCTCTAATCTTATCCACCTCACCCTAGAACAGGGGTAGACAGTAGACAAGAGCGATTCATTTTGTTCCGAATTGAAATCCGTACAAACTTCCGTAAATTCGGATGCATCTGAATTTGGAATGACAGAATTAACCAATCCAAACGTATCTGAATGCTTGATAACAAAATTCAGATAAATCCAAATTTTATTCAGAACAAAACAGAAGAGGGAAAGCTGTGTGTCATTTACAGCTCTTCGGATTCTATGCTCTTTGTTGACATTCTGGACTTGTATCCTGAATTAAAACAAAGTAACAGAATATTGTTACAAATTGTAAACAAATAAAGAAACTTACAGTTGTCACAGAATACACAAAAGTGTTAAATAGTCCACAGAAATAATAATAAAAACACTGTGCAGTTCTCCTGACAATTCATACTAAGGGGGAGCCCAATGCCAAAAAAGTGTGACCTCCCCCTAAAATCCCATATAAGACCCTTAATCCGGGCAGCAGCCTGGCAGTGCAGGAAAGGGGGGGGGCGAGCAAGAGCTCCCTCTGCCACCAAACCAGGCCACATGCTGCCACCAGATCGTTTCTATGATCCGGTAAAGTGGCTGCCCCCCCATCCAACACCCCCGCCGTGTCTCCCGGGCTTCCTCTTCTGCAGACTGTAGTAGGAAAAAAAACATCTCAAATGTCACTTTGGCAGGAGAAGTTAACAATCTAGGACAACATAGCTGATTTGGAACAATCCTCCAATTCAGCTCACTTTCCAGTTCAGCTATGTTGTCCTAGATTGTTCACTTCTCCTGCCTTCTTCAAACTCTTCACCCTTTTGTGAATAAACCTGATAATGTTTGGGGGTTTAAGTAATTTTCAGGCTTAAAATGTGGATTGTAAACAAAAAATGAAAAAAAGGCCTTTGTCCATAAGGGGTTAAATAGACTGACTGCAGTTCCTCATCTACCAGCAGGTGGCGCTGGAGGTGTATCCTGATAGTTTCTACTCCTGCTCCAATTTATTATTTGTGGGGCTGTTTTAATATTAAAATTCTCTTTTAAATAAGCCTGATTGACATGTGCTCATGGTAACAAGCTGCAAGCACATCTAGGTTCCTGCTGACTGTGTGATTGGTGTCACTTTGTTACTAAATATCTCCAAGAAAAGGGTATTGAAAGCAATCCAGCAAACAGAAAGCGCCATTCTTGTACTTAGTCTGGGCCAGTGGCCAACTTCACAGACAAATGATCTCCAAAACTTCCATTGCATATAAACCAAGTCACACAGGACATTCGTATACTGTATATGGTGTTCTAAGTGAAGTTGAAATACAGGGCTTTCTATCCTGTACATGTTTGATCACATTTACAGTTATTACTAACATTCTAAAAGTTCAGAAAAAATATATTTTAAAGCTGGGCTTCAGTAAACAAAATGTTTTGAGGGCTACAACACAAGCCACATAGGTTACCCCTAATGAATAATCTCCTTTGTCCTTCTGGTTGCTGTAATAAACACCCCTTCCATAAGACAGGATACTCTACACCGCTGTGATCTTCCATTGCTGCAGGGATGAGAGGTGCAACTGTGAAAGATTGCACTGATCGCCCTCCCCTTCGTTGGTCTAGCAGCCAGGCAGGACTAATGATCGGGTGAGTGTATCTTTTTTATTGTAAACCATAGACCAAAATGAGCACTTAATGGGGGTAGCCCCACTGCAAGGGTTAAATTCCCCTTTGCCTGGAGTTGTTCTTTAAGGGCTTGCTCACACTATGTGCAATGACTTGGATTATTTTGCACAGGACCAATGCCAGTCACCAATACAGCACATAGAATATAATTGTTTTCTATGTGCCCCATTCACACTATAACATGGGGGTGCGTCAGGCTGTGGTATAATGTAGCCACGCCGCATTTTTCCACAGTGCACTGCATGCCATGGGAGGTCACCGTAGCACGATATAAAGCACTGCTGTCTGAAGACAAGAATAGCGTGTACTTTTTGAAAAGAAACCAAAAATAAAAAAGGAAAACGGGTCCTTGGGCACTGCTGTTCACTGCTGCCACCTAGCAGACACTAGTCACATGGTAGATCGCTGCGTTTTACTCTGTAGTTATTGTGAATGAGCCCTAAGGGTTATTGCTGCATTTTAAGACAAATGTCATCATTTTCTAATCTTAGCTCAGGTTCAGCAAGAATTTTCAACACATTTTAAAGGCTTCAATCTGTTTTCTCAAAACACTGTAGGACCCCTTCAGCTCTGACCTGGGAGTGTTAAATTCATTTCTTAAAGCAACCCTATTGAAATTCAAAATTTTTGCAATCAGGGGATATTAGGGTTGCCACCTTTTCTTCAAGCGAAACCTGAACACTCTAGTGACGAGCGGACATTTTTGGGGGAGAATGAGTCGTGGCTTGCTCATATGTAAATAGCGCCTCCCATTCATAAATATTACAGTTGAGACTATTTTCAGTGGGGGGCCAGTGGCCCCTATCTTAATTTTGGTTGTCCCTGTCTGCCTGAAATCTTGTATCCGGGTTTCTGCTGCCATGAAACCAGGACACAGCATTCACAACCCAGACTGTCCGGGTGAATCCTGGAAAGGTGGCAACCCTAGGGGATACCCAAAAAATAAGGCTGTAAACACTCGCCATTCCTGTTCTCTGCACCACCTGGGCTCTGCAGGGTCACCCACAGGTGGGCTGGTCGCACTCCCTACCTGTCCGCCTCCTCTTCCTCCACGCTCGCTGATGGGAACCGCCTCCTCCGTCACCAGGCCTGCTTCCTTCTCCGTCACCGGGCCCCGCCTCCTCCCCAGAAGTGTCGGCGGCGGAGATGGTGGCGGTAGGGGACAGAATGAGGGACCAATTGATCCTACAGCACTGGAGAAGGGCACACTGGTAAGAAAAGTCGTCATCCAATAAGGAAGTACCTTTACCTATGCACCCATCAATTTTTCACAGTGACTTACTTCTGCTTTAATGGCAGTGCAGCTCTAGCTGTATCATGCATTTATCAGGCTTCAGAAGGCTATATGGGTAAGCTATGGATAGCCCCAGGGTTTGATACCTTTGCTGCCTGTGTGTCTTGCCTGACCTGTGCCCAAACAATCCAGAAAGAGTAGTGACTGTCCCTTTGAGACACTCCCCTAAGCCTGAGTACCCCTTTCAAAGGTTCTCGATTGATTACATTTAGTTACCTAAGTGTGGATCCTATTGTTATGTTTTGGTGTGTGTTAACAGCCTCAGCCTTTGGCTAATATATGGCCTGTTCTTAGCTTTTAGGTTATATACTCTTCCATCCCAGACCCTTCCTCTGTTGTATGTACTCAGTGTCTAGAGTTTAGAAACCTGTGAGGCTTTCATTTAAGAGACCCTGTCACTAGATCATTCATTTTAACAACAATGTTCCCATAATATTATATGTGCATTTAACAAATAATATGCATGTTATTTAAAAGCCTCCCTTGTGTAGACATCCAAAGGCCCTGAGATTTCTGCTGGGCACAACCATCTTGAATGTGATGTCAGCAGCCCCAACAAACTCAAAGTTATAACTCTATTGTATTACTCTTTACTCTTCCCCTGGCTGTTATATTAAAGGTAATGCAGCTAGGTGAGGGTAGGGGATCTGGGCCAGCACAGAAATTAATTAAACAACCCCAGAGGAGGAGATGGCTATGATATGCAAGGGAGGGAGCCGGGCTAGGGGATTGACTCATCCTGGAGTGGTTACATCCTAAGGGGTTCAATTCACAAAAGGGGGAAGAGTCCGGAGAAGGCAGGAGAAGTGAACAATCTAGGACAACATAGATGATTCGGAAAAATTCTCCAATTCAGCTCACTTTCCAGTTCCGCTATGTTGTCCTAGATTGTGCACTTCTCCTGCCTTCTCCAAACTCTTCACCCTTTTGTGAATAACCCCATAAGTTCAAAGGCAGATTGTAAGTGAGTAAAATGTTGTCTATAGAAAGAAAAATGCTAAGCATTTAAAATACTTGATACTTCTTTTGCTATTAACTATTTTTTTAGCTTGGTGACAGATTCTCTTTTAAACTAAAAATGTTTGTGTTTATTTAGCCGAAGCGTTGAAGTCAAAAGTTGCAGATCTAACAGTGCAGCTAACCCATCTGATATCAATCTGATATCTGCCAGTATATGGCTGGCCTTACAATCCGGGAGAAGGGGGCCATCAGATCAAATAAATACAACATGAATGCAATCGCTTTCTATAGAAATGTGTAAGAGAAGGAGAAAGATGTGACAGAAACGTCTTGCCAGAAGGGGCCCTTTCCAAATGTTAATTATGACCCTGTCCTCTTCTTGCAGCACATTCTCTCCCTCTGTTCCTTGTGTAGAATTTGGAAAGCTGTGTGGGAAAAAAAATCCTTGCGGAAAGACCTCCTTGTGGAACTGACCGCTGACTAGTGGCTGATGGAGGCGAATGATAGGTGGGAGATTCAAGGATCTGGAAGGCAATGTTTGCCTGGAGGGGTCTCTGCTATGCCAATGCCAATGTCTCTTGGAGGACCACTCATTATATGCCAGTGTGGAGGTTTTCTATACTCATCTCATCACAACTGAACAAACACAGTAAGTATTTCATTCTTAATAGCACACCTTTTAAACCTCTAGTTTGTACTTTTTATTACTTTTGTCAACTTGTGACAGTTATTTACAGGAAACACATACTGACTGAAATACATTGACATTGTTAACTTCCTTCCAAAAATACTGGTTTCCATACCTTGTACCATCATGAGATCAGTGAAAACTCCATATATTATTGTGTCAGTACCTTAAATATATGTAAAAGCAGAATTTTTTCTCTTTTCATTTTGCATAGAGTAAAGGTGGACAGAATTGTAACCGTGGGCGGCTCTGTCTGCACCTATCGGCTCGACAAACCTCAATTGAAATGTCAAATCAACAGAGAGGAAAATTGTTGGCTGAACAGTGACTCCACTTGAAAGAATAAAATAGCTGGCAGAGAAGATTCCTCCATTGTCATTTACATGTGCTTGTGTATGGGCATAAGTTCCTGAACGTGAAACTTCCACATTCAGGAACCTATGCCCGTGCACGTGTAAATACCGGTGCTTACATTGAAATGTGTATATCCGCTTACAGCCTATTATGTGCTAACTCCAGCAGTTGTATGGTTAAAGAGGTTTTGTATTAACCCTTGCAGTGGGGCTACCCCTGATTGGCAAGGGCTAAGTGCTTGTTTGTGCCTAGGTGCTACAATAACAAAGATATACTCACTCGAAGTTCCGAGCTGACCAGCTATCACAGAGCCCCCTCCAGCCTGTGTCCTCCTCCCTGCAGCATCCTCAGCGTCCTTACATCTATACACTGTATATAGAAGTTGATGATTTATGGAACCTTAGAGCACTGCAGAGAAGGGGGAGAGATGTTGGAAGGACCGGTCAAAGAAGAAGCCGGCTAAAACCTAAACGAGCAGTTAACCCTTGCAGTGCTGGGTTAGCCCAGCTGCAATGATTAATTAAAACCTTTCCTGTAGTTCTTCTATAATGCAATTCATTGGTATTGTTGTGTATAGCCACCGTTCATGTTTGTTATGCTACCATCTTGTGGTTATTGTGTATATTACACTTTTTTTCTGTGTTCATACCCTTGTCTGATGTAGTACCCCTATTTCCTCAGTGTTCAATTCAGCCTTTTTCTGGCCACATGTGCACATGAGGATAGGAACGCATTATCCGTTTTTGACCACTTTAAATACTGCAATTCAGCATCTACCACATTGTATTGTCTGCCAGTAACCTGCTGCATTCAATAAAGATGTTGATGAGGACAAGGGCCTCTTCCCCACAACCCAGGCCCGGTGGTTATGAGGGTCTACAGGCAGGGCGGCTTATCTGAATCTGGGTGCCACCTTTATGAAAGGGATCAGATCCCACCCCCCTTGTGAATGAGTAATGGGGCAGGTTTTACCCCTACTCATTCACCAAATAACAGTGAAATAGTAAGTAAACACAGCACACCATAGTCATTTATTTGAAAGAAAAAAAAAACAACAGTTGTTGATTTTCCCCCCTTTCCTGCTTTGCCAGACTGCTGCTCGGACCAAGGGTCTGGTAAGGGATTTTTAGGGGACCCCACACTTTGTGACATTGGGGTTCCCCCTAAAATTCCTACCTAAAGGGTCTGCTACGAATTGAGGTGGTGGGGGTGGAGGAATGGTGTTTCAAATAATTTGAAGGAAAAAAAATTTGCTTCATGTTCCCATGGACTGTCAACGGTTAGAAAAAGAAAAAATTAAACATTTACAGGGTTATTCACAAAGGAATAAAAAGAAAGAGTATGGAGAAGGCAGGAGAAGTGAACAATCTAGGACAAATCTATCACTTCTCCTGTCTTCTCCTCAAACACAGACAGAAGGCTGCAGGGAGATGCACTGCATAATTCAGGTAAGTGGAGGTGGGTGCAGGAGCGGTTTGAGGGGGGAAGATTCACCCCCTCTATGTGTCCTGGTGACTGTTTTCACTGAAAGTGAAAGAAAATCCCACATTTTGGATTTTCATCAGAACAGGAATAGATGGGAAATTTTGCAGTTGGGAAACCCTGCTGACTACAAAGGATGTTCCTCTTTTTGAAGAGAATTTCTTTCACTTCTTGTTGTGGGTATTAGACAGGAAATAAGGGGAAATCTCACCAATGGGACACAAATAGCCAACACAGCTGTCAGGGGTCATAACCCTCCCTTACTCTATCCAAACTTAAACAGTGTTGGCTTCAGTTCTACTGTAAGGTGAAAACTGGAACAATATCTCAAAATATGCGCCCACTGAAAATACACTATACTTCCCGGTTAATCTACTGATGTGATTGGACTAGCATTGCTGCCAGGAAACTGGTATTTTCAGAATGAGAGACCACCAGGGGCATCCTATATATTTTACGAAGGTTTCCTTTAGGATGCACATCTGCTGTGTGACTTTCCAAGTGATGCAGAATACATTTTAAGTATTGTTGTAGTAGTAAAAGTAAGGTTGGGTTCACACCTGGGCGTACTATAGGCGCGTTTTTTCTGCTTGTTTTTTGTGCGTTTTTTAGCACGTTTTTCCGTTCAGTGAAACTTGCGTTTGACGCTCATTTTTATACCCCCCTGGCAGTATGATTTTTTTTTTCCTTTTATTTTCTATCTTTTTTTCGGGTTTTTTATTTAACTTTCAAACTTCCCGCCAGTTCCGCCCCCCTGCTTCGCGGCCGCTCACATGGGACGGAACCCGGAAGACGCCAGCGGCCGGAGGACATAGCGGGGATCGAGGACAATGTAAGTCCTACGCTGTATTCCCGAATGTGGCTCGGGGTTAGGTCTGGTTCACACCTGGGCATTTTTCAGCACGTTCCTACGCTCTGTAAAGCGCTAAACATGTGAATACCAATGATTGCCTATGGGCATGGTTCCCACCTGGGCATTTTACAGCGCTTAGGAACACGCTGAAAAACGCCCTACGCCCAAAGAAGTACAGGAGCTTCTTTGGGGCGTATTTGCCGCGCGTATCCATTGGGATACAGCCAGGCAGCCCTCGGAAACGTGCTGGATACAGCGCATATTCGATACACCTAGGTGTGAACCCAGCCTTACCGCTTTGTTAACTCCAAACCACACTCGGGAATACCAATGGATACGCGCGGAAAAACGCCCCAAAAGAAGCTCCTGTACTTGTTTGGGCGTAGGGCGTTTTTCAGTGCGTTTCTATGCGCTGAAGTACGCCCAGGTGGGAACCATGCCCATAGGAAGTTATGGGATTTCCCTTGCTGAGCGTTTTTCAGCACTTCAATCAGCGCTGAAAAACGCCCAGGTGTGAACCAGCACTAACAAGCAAATGAACAAACTCTTTGCAGCATTCTGAAAATATAGTTTGACATCCTTTGTAGGAATCGATCTGGGCTACAGAAAGGAAATGATCAATTTACTAAACATGAAATTATCGGAGAAAGAATGGAGAATAGGCAATTAATAGGTATACCTGGCTGCACTACTATGAGACCCTCCGCTATAATGGGGCTCTGGACAGAATCATTATAGGGTCACTAGTTCTACAAGCACAGTCTTATTTCTGAGCCATTCTATCACAATCAGACATAGGTGACATTCCAAACCTGATCATACATGGGTGGAATCTAAGCCACTTCCTACTCAATCAGACAAAATTCAATCTGTGGGTGGCCCTGTGGTAGGGTTGTCACCTGTCCAGGATTAACCTGGACAGTTCGGGTTTTGAATGCTGTGTTCGGGTTTCATAGCAACAGGAACCCGGACACAAGGGGGTTGATTTACTAACCTTATAAACACACCACGAACATGTATACACCTCGGTAGTGTGTTCCCTCCCAGCATGATCTATGGGTGGAATCTAAACACCTTTGTAGTGTGTACACACCCAGCAGGTGTGTTGTGCAAAGCCAAGCATGAATTGCAAGGTGATGTTGTGTAAATTAGCTCTATGTTATGTTGCTTGCGTTGATGAATGCAGGAATGTAAATGCATGAGCTAACCATTTTTGTCTAAACTGTGAAGCAGCATTATATATGCATCATGTGCATGATTTTTCCATATATGGCATTAGTCTCAACTGTGATATTTACATATTAATGGGTGGCACTATTTACATCTAAATAAGCCAGGAATCATTCTCCCAAAAAAATGTTGTCGTGTCGCTAGAGTGTTTGGGTTTTGTTGAAGAAAAGGTGGGCACCATCCGACCAGTGACTGCAGCTGATTGGTTGCAATCAATGTTCAGCCACCAATTTTTTCACCCTCCTCCTTTGACAAAGTCGGTCAAAAAATGGGTAAAAAATTGTAGTCTGAACACTGATTTCACTGATCAGCTGCAATCACCGTTCAGGCATTGTGACAGTCGCAGGCGCCAGCCTTCTCTATACAATAGCTGGCAGTGGAGACTCTTCCATTCACACTCTCTTGCATACATGAGGAAATTAGGTGGTTTCTGTTGTTCATCCCATGGGGCTGCATGTGGAAAATCTAATGTGTATGGCTAGTTTATAATAAATAGAGGAGCCTGTATTGTATATTATGTATCACAAATGGAATTACAAAGCTGGCTGTCCTTGATTCTGTTTATTAATGGAACCCACAGAACTCCTGCTATGGGTATTTGTAGACCCAGAAATATTTGGCACGATATTTAGTAATTTGTTTGTGGAATTTTACCAGTGAGATAATTGATACATACAAATCGTGTTCCTCACTCTATTCACTGACGTTTGTTTGTAAAAATAAAACATACAAAAGGGAATTCATCAAAACTGGAGTAGACAGAATCTGGAGCATGTGCTTATGGCAACCAATCGGCATCTCTTTTCAGCTTGCTCAGTTAAGCTTTGAACATGAAAGAGAGATGCTGATTGGTTACTATGGGCAACTGCTCCAGATTCCTCTGCTCCAGTTTTTATAAATTTCCCTCATTGTTTTTATAGATCCATCTGGTCATATGTAGCACTGCAGCCTCTGTAATATTTTCAAAATATTCAATATGCATAGAAGGGAATTTATCAAAACTGGAATAGACAAAATCTGGAGCAGTTGCCCATGGCAACCA